TCTGTTAGATCCTGTACCCACTACATTACTGAAAGAGTTGTTACCTGTAGCAGAAGAACCGCTTCTCAATATTATTAACTCGTCGTTGTCTTTAGGTCACGTCCCAAAACCATTCAAGCTGGTGGTTATTAACCCTTTAAACCCCACGACAAAATCCTCAGTTTCAAATGAAAACTTATGTGAGCACACTACAGAGTGTTAAAGTAATACTGAATCAGTGGTTAATAAGATAATCATGTGATTAATTAAGTGATTAATGATGAACAGCTGCTGTTAACAAGCAGAATCACTGAAGAAAAGAGAAACACAAGAACTACAACTGACTTCAGACACAGACTTAGATGAAATCAACTGAAATAAAAGAAGACATTAAATCTCTCAAGATCTCAGCAGAAGATGATTGTGCATTAGTGATGAACACCTGCTGTTAACAATCAACATCATTGAAGAAAAGAGAAACACAAGAACTACACCTGACTTTAGCCTCAGCCTTGGTTGAAATCACCAGAATTAGACTTTCTGCCTATAACTCATGATGAATGAACATTATAAAGTGGATTCTGTGGTTTATTGTCTGAATTTGAGATATTACTGAACTGTGGAATAAATGAAAATAATCCCACTAAACAATTTCCTACATCACGCTTCCATATTGAATAAAATAAAATTATGCCAGTTCAGGCTTTTAGACATGAACACTTATCATATGATCCTCAACAGTGGTGACAATAATTAATTCATGCTGCAGTGCATGATGGGAGTTTTTACTATGGGGTTACCCAGCATGCATTGCAGCATTTTGTTGATTGTCACCATTGTTGAGATTCATATGCTGGTTCTTGATGTCTGTGTGTGTCTAAAAATATCACTAGAGACTAAATAGTCATAAACATGACAAAGATGTAAATCTAATTCATTGTACTTTATAGCAACATCACCTTGTTTAACATGCTTAAGTTACACAGGGGTAATCTTTTATTTATGCATAAAACAGAACCATTCAGCATTTACAGACTATGCTTAAAGAAAATTAGTTCATCTTCAAAAATACAGTTAACTGCTGTTCACTGCATAGCACTGACCTGTCTGCGTCACAATACCACATGCATTGCTATAAAGAAATCTATATAACGCAAATGCAAGGGTCAAGAGCCCAACTAAAGCAAACACTGATCTTCATGATGGTGCCATCATTTTAACCAATAAAACATCAACATCTGATCCTCTGTAATTCTCAATAACAACAGCTGTTCATCACTAATGCACAATCATCATTTAATTAGTCACTTAATTATCTCATTAACTTTAACTCTTTGAGGACTTGGGATATGACTTGAAGACTTGATTGTGACTTGAAAGTCCCAACTCTGCATGCTAATATAACGCAACACAAAAAGAAAAGCAAAAATATAAGCACATAGAAAGAATTAAAAAAAATAAGTGGACAATTCTGTGGCATAATTTATGCATGTCGCAATGCATGCTGGGAGTCATGGATGAGTTTTGTACTTTGCTGGTACCCAGCATGCACTGCAGCATTAAGCTTTTGACGCACCATTGTTGAGATTCATGTGCTGATTCTTGATGTCTGTATGCAAATAAAATACTTTACAATTTATCATAAAAGTTAATTATTATTGTAGTATCATAATATAAATTGCATGTGCTTGATAAAATATCAGACCTGTCAGCAAACATTTGAACTGATTGCAAACAGACAAGCAGGCTGTGTCATAGTGATTGCAATCTAAATAATGCAAAACATTGGATTTCAATAATTCATGGCTTCTTAGGCTATAACAAATGCATATTATAAAAACAGATACAGTATCTAGAAAACATCTAGTGTTAAATACAAATAAAAGGGTTAAGAGGCCAACTAAAGCAACGCTAATTGCCATATTGGTCACACAAAACTTATTTAATAAAACATCTAAATGTCTGTCAATTCTCAAGTAATTTTGTAGATATATGACAGAAATAAAGTCAAACTGTAATGCTGTGTGTGGAGTTGTTTGATCGTGTTCTGCTGTTATTTCAGTTGATTTCATCTAAGTCTGTGTCTGAAGTCAGTTGTAGTTCTTGTGTTTCTCTTTTCTTCAGTGATTCTGCTTGTTAACAGCAGTTGTTCATCACTGTCTGAATTCACTCATTAGTGTTCATTCTCTCTGTCAGGTGGACTGTATTAGTAAACTCATGTAGGGAATAGTGAATGAGGGTGTAGGGTGTGATTTGAAACAGTCTCTGAGTGTCGAATCTGAACGCTGTTACTACAAGGACTGCAGAAGGATACTTTCTCGAAAATAAAAAATATTACCCAGAATGCATTGTTTTTTTTACTGTTGTAATGAAAAAACAGGATGTTACTGTCAGAATATGGCAGTTTTTTACAGCAATTTTTTTACAGTGTAGCCTCTATTTCTTCGTGCAAGGGGATACCTTTGTTTTGATCAAGTAAGTTCTCAGAGGTGTGAACTTCCAGCCCCAAGAAGCATAATGTTGCTCTTAGCTGTTCGAAAATAGTGTAAACCAAAGGGCTTAAATTGCATTTCTAAAACAATTATTCCATATAGCTACACTGTAAAAAATTGTGCCGTTAAATAACAGTAATTTACTGGCAGCAGGGTTGTCAGTAAGGTACTGTTAATTTACAGCTTTCAACCGTTAATTTACAACTCTAAATTTTTCACAGTGTTTTACCGTAATTCTGCCATGGAAATTAACGCTGCTCCCATTGCTTCAAACAGTTCGAGTTTAAAAACTAGCGTTCATACGATATAAGTACTGCGAACTTATTTAATTTGAGTCCACTGAGAAGAAATATTTCTTAGTATAAAACTGCAAACATTAATGTGTAACAGCAAATTAACTAAAAACATGACTTTAACTCAAATCGTTGCAGTTCACTGTTAGCTACAGCACACATGTGCGAAATGAAGTAACAAAGAGATCATAACTGTATCAGCAACTCTGTATCAGTTACTGTCTTTAAATAAAGCAGCAGAACCGATCTTTAAAATAGCATCATATGACCCCTTTAAGAAATTTGTCTTATATTTCAAGTTTTCTGAAATGTTGTTTAAATATGCAAATGAGGCATTACCTAACTAAATGTGCGTGCATTTACATGAATTTCTTAATAATAAAGAACAGAAATCTAAAACATCAAATAAAATCAGGTTAAAAATTCTGTGCATAAGAAAAAAAAAACTCATTTTGAGAATATCTGCTGCGTATCTTGTTTGCTTGATAAGTTTGATAAAATGACTAATTTTCTCTAAAGACATGTATTGTAATTTGAGGGTTTAGAGGATTCTTCATAGCAATTTGTGTGGGTTACTTCAAGAGAGCAATCATATATCTACGCTGATTTATTTTCTTTCTTTTATACTCATTCATTTATAATCATTTAATCATTGTATTATTCCATTTAATGATACGATCATTTAAAATAATAATTTTATTGATTTATTCACTGATTAGTCATTTATATTATATAATATTTTTGTTTATTCTTATGGTGTGGTTTCAAGAGATATTTGTGTTCATGAGTAAGAGATCAGAGAATGTCTCCATTTCAGGTTTTTACACACTCAATGACGTGAAGCAGTAATTTTCCATTGGTATTATTATTATTTATTTATTTATTTTTTGTGCTGGTCAGATGAAGTCTGTTCATTGAAACATACACAACTCAGATTATTCAATACACTCTGCTTTAGACTCTTAATACGGTTTGGGGTACCAGAAAAAACTTTTGGATATAAAACGGATAAAAAGTGAAACATGCATATAGTTGAATTAAAATAAAATAAAAATGTAATGATTATTTTGGATGTTTATTTCCCCCCTCGTCTGAAAGTAGCCCAAAATCTGCAACTTTACCAGTGCGTGAAAAACATTTTCTTATATACTATTACCATATTACTATATTAACTATAAGTTAACTGATAAGAAGTCGCCTCCATCCAATATAAGCTGTGTCTCATTTAGAAGGCTGCACCCTCTGTAGGTTGAATCCTCTGTAGGTCGCATCCTCTGTAGGATGCATATATGAAGTGTCCTCAACCTAGAATTAAACGAAACGGCCTTTGTAGGAAGGGAAACTGGAAGTATCACATTGCTATGCCAACACATTTAGAGCATCGTTGCGCTCTCACACTACTTAAATGAAGGAAAATTATTTCTACATTTGGAAAGTAATTTGAAAAAAAAAAATGCTTTTACTTGTTTTATTTTGTTCAATGTTTGAGGAGCTGCAGCGTACCTACAGCAGGCATCTATTAGAGAAAAAAAGGATGAGGTTATTAAAAACAAATTTTATCCGTTTTTCCCGAGGCGAATTAAGGTAAGTTGTAAACTCCACATCTGCGCTTGTGTGTACGTTACAGCTGCCGGCTCCGGCATTTTTCAAATTAACAACGGTTGTTCATGGTGACAAAGAATTGTGGGTTATCTGTAGCAGTGAAGGATACACCTCATGCATCCTCCAAATTCCTGTGAAAGAAGGTCGCATTCGAAGTGTCCAATAAAGCTTTTCTAATCTGTTACCATGCCTTTGTCCCTGTGCTCCTGTTCATGCTTCTGCATCTGGGTTTGTAGATGATTTAATTCAATATTCAAGTCATTTAAAAAAATCCTGAAATTGTATTATGTCATGATATAAAATATCACGTGAACAACAATCTATTGAAAATATCAGCAAAAATATAAAGGAAACGACTCCTTTTTACATCCAAATCACCTTCATAGGTATGTTAATCATTAACGGGTCATGACACGTTAATGATTAACAAATCGTGTGATAAACAATAACCTTTATCAAACTCTAACTCCTCCTTAAAAAAAAAAATTTAAAAAAGGGAGGCTGGGCATATATAAGGAAGTCATTGACCTTTGCTCTGTCTTCTTGTTTGTTCTCCTTCTCATCACTTTGAATTCAGATTTTTTTAATGTTCAATCTCGGAATAATTTAATCTGAGTGTTCTGTGTCTGTCTTGATGGCTGTGTCTCTGTTGGATGTCCTGTCGTGTCCCGTGTGCACTGAACTCTTCAGAGATCCGGTGTTATTGAGCTGTGGACACAGTTTCTGCCGGCAGTGCATTAATGCTCACTGGACCTCCAGCAGCTCCAGAAGATGTTACATCTGCCGACTGGCATCACCACGAGAACCGGTGCCCAATCTGGGCTTGAGAAATGCCTGTGTGTCTTACCTAAGAGAGCAAAACATGAGGACAGAGGAGGATGGAGGACTGAAGTGTCACATACATGGAGAGAACATCGAGCTGTTCTGTGAAATAGATGAAAAGGCTATATGTTCAACATGCATGGATTATGAGCACAGGTGGCACGAAACACAACCGCTACATCAGGCTCTACGACAACGCAAGGTAGAGGATATTTCTTTTTTATGTAATTATTAAATGCATAGGTATGGCAGAAAATTACAAATAGGTTTAAACAGATATGTGTATGAATATGTGTATTGTTCTCTTTAAAGGAGAAGCTGAAAGCAGCTCTTCGTTCGGCTGGAAAAACTTTATTATCATTACAAAATGGTACATCAAGGGATAGCAAAATCTCCAATTACGTTCAGGTGAGGCTCATGTAGTACAACAATAGCTACAGATTCCACAGATGTTCTCTTTATAAAACTACAGTTAGCTTTTCAGGTTACACCCAACTGACGACTGTAGGCTGACTGGTTACTCAAAACATGACATGATCGTTTTTGGCAAGTACATCTTGGTTTAAACTGGTGCTTGAGTCCACCTAAATTAATTAAAAAAGGGTAGAAAGAAATATAAAAATGCAATATTAAGTAACAATATTAATAGAAATGGAAGTGTCACCTTCTAGCAGGATTTATACAAATCAGCTTCACAGTAATAAACAGGAAAATAACAGACGTAATGTTGCAAAGTTCATTAATTATGAAACAACTCAACTCAGCAACTTCATAGAAGACAATAGTGTCGTTATTCATCTCTATTCAGATCATATTTTGTTCTCATCTGATGGTGTCAGTGCGGTCAAATCAAGATAGTACTGAATATTAAGTGCCCCAACTAAGCAAGCCAAAGATGACAGTGACAAGGATCCCAAGCTCCATTAGGTGACAGAAATTGAGAAAAAAAAGGAGAAACCATGCAGACTCAGTCAGGGATCAATTCTCCTTTGGCCTATAAGTGAACAATCACCTAGTGTTTCAGAAATGTATATGTCCCCATTCAATTGACAAATAGCACAGGAGATACAAGTCTGACATGTTTGAAAAGGTTATGGAGTCAGGAAGAAACTATACATGTGCTGATTTTTCCTAAATTGTGAATGTGTTATGAATTGAGAAATCAGACTTTCCCTGATTTAATTTATACGTATAATTCCTTATGGACGGACACTTTTTTTTTTTATTATTTGTGAATTTTTTCTTCTCTCCCTGTGGATTATTTGAACAGTTTTGTGATCTCTCCCCAGTCTCAAACTCAGATGACAGAAAGAACTATCAGGATGGAGTTTGAGAAACTCCAACAGTTCCTCAAAAAGGAGGAGGAGAGCAGGATAGCGGCTCTAAATGAAGAAGAGAAACAAAAGAGAGGACATATAGAAAGAAGAATACAAGGAGGAATACTGTCTCTCTCTGATAGAGTCAGAGAAGCGGAACAACAAATTGAGGATAATGCTATCACGTTTCTTCAAGTTGGTTCACACACACACACACACACACACACACACACTGGCATTCACTCCACACACAGCTCTGACATATCCATGTTCTTCATGCATGTTCCCATGAATTCACAAAATATTTTGTGACCTCTATGCTGGCCAAGCTGGCACATCAGCTAGAGCAGTTTAAGGTGCTTTAAGTTTTCAACTGGGCAACATCTAAATCTACTAGTTTTTCTAGTGAAATATTATTAAAATGACAGAATCAACCTGACTACGGCACAACAAAATCAGATCTGGTAGAAATGGCAACTACTACATTTACCCACTTTTAACGTTGTATATTTATATAAGTACATGTAATAATGCTATTATAAAATGGTTTATAATTTATTGCTATTTTATAATGGATGTTGTCTTTCTATGTATTTTCTTAGAATTATGACAGCATTCTGAACAGGTATTATTTTATTTTTTTTATATTTCCTCTTTTTTTTAATATTCATGAGCTTTGCATCAAACTTATTCTGTGAGGTGTGTGTGTGTGTGTGTGTGTGTGTGTGTGTGTGTGTGTGTTTAGAGCCAAATACACACTTCCAGATCAGGAGCTGAGTTCAGTAACTCTTATCGATGTTTCCAAACATCTGGGTAACTTGAAGTACCAAGTGTGGGAGAAGATGAAGGACATCTGCCCTTACTGTGAGAACTAGACTTGTTCATTCCTGTAAGAACTGCTTACTTAATCAACACAAGTGACTTTCCCTACTCTCCACAGACCCTGTGATCCTGAATCCAAACACAGCTCCACCAGACATCTCTGTGTCAGATGATCTGACCTCTGTGACCTCACGTGTCCGTCGGCAGGACGAACCCAATGCTTTTCCTCTGCACAGGAGCCGTGTGGTGTTGGGGAGCGTGGGATATGCTGATGGTGTTCACACGTGGGACATTGAGGTGGGAGACAGTCACCACTGGAGTCTTGGAGTGTGTTTTGGATTGGAGGGTAAACCTACTACACAACCTTTGACCCCTGAAAACGGCTTCTGGGGTCTCAGACGCGATGGAGACTTGTACGAATTGATGACTGCTGGGATGTCGAGATTAAAGATAAAGGGAAACCCACAGGTAGTGAGAGTAAAGCTTAATTATGTTCATGAAGACTCTGGGGAAAAGAAACGCTGGAGGACGGTGAGCTTTTCTGATGCCAGGAATGATTCATATATTGCAGGGTTTTCTAGAGTGCCTTTGGAGAAGGATCTCTTTCCCTTTGTGATCCCAGAAGATCAGACCTCACCGTTGCGTGTCGTCCCAGCAAAAGTTATTCTGACTGTTGAACAGAAACTATCATTCATGGAGAAAAATAAAGTCTTGCTCATCGTTTGTTTTGGTTTTGTCATGTTTATATTGGTGATTCTGTTAGGAAAGAGTGACCGACAGGGCAGGTGAAAAGTAAATGTCTGTTTAATTACCGTAATGGTCTGTTATAATGGTTCAGTCAGCTAAAGCAGACTTCTGAGCAAAACTAAACGATCTAGCATCACTGCACTATAATGTGAATATAATGGAGCCCACGTCCATGATGATAATAATGCACAGCGTGCACTTGACAGTTTCTGTTCAACCGTTTCTTGTAATTTTTTGAAAGACCTTTTTACTGCACTGATTTATCATTTTAGTAGAATGATTTCAGAGCGATCTCAGAATTTGATCAACCCTTTATCATCCTCACAATATCCTGCAGCTCAGCAGCACAGCATTGTTGTGATGTATCATGTAACTCATCATTGTTTCTAGTAGCACTCCATTTCCTGGTTTATGTGTGTAAATATCCTGTTGGATTAGATCTGAAAAGTCTTGTTCAACTGCAGTTTGGGGGAAATTATATTCTTCTTCTGTTTTGTTGACTGTCCTAAACCTTAACTTCTTTCCACTTTTTTGACTATCCGTTTTTGATAATATTGTTTTATCAAAGATAAAATAAATAAAGATCAAATAAATAATGAGCACGGCATCTGAGGACTTTTGCTTGTTCTCTGTTGTTTTGCTTTATTTCCAGATACAGCTGATCGTCTTTGCAGTGCCAAGCCACACTGTAAAAAATTGTGCCGTTAAATAACAGTAATTTACTGGCAGCAGGGTTGCCAGTAAGGTACTGTTAATTTACAGCTTTCAACCGTTAATTTACAACTCTAAATTTTTCACAGTGTTTTACCGTAATTCTACCATGGAAATTAACTCCGCTCCCATTGCTTCAAACAGTTCGAGTTTAAAAACTAGCGTTCATACGATATAAGTACTGCAAACTTATTTAATTTGAGTCCACTGAGAAGGAATATTTCTTAGTATAAAACTGCAAACACTTAATGTGTAACAGCAAAATAACTAAAAACATGACTTTAACTCAAATCGTTGCAGTTCACTGTTAGCTACAGCACACGTGTGAGACGAAGTAACAAAGAGATCATTACTGTATCAGCAACGCCACAGTTACGGTCTTTAAATAAAGCAGCAGAACAGCAGTGTTTGTGGCTCATCATTGACTGAAGCACAGGCT